AGTGAATCTATTTTATATGTATAAGAGGAAAGCAAAAAACGCATATACCTTCAGTAAAAATTCAACCAAATAAAAACACAGAGACAGATACACTAGATAAAAAGTCAAGACTCATTGGTGTGATAGATGCAGAAGACCCATCTCACGTGCAAAGAACACACAGGCTCAAAATCTCAAAATAAAGGGATGGAGGAATATTGACCAAGAAAATGGAAAGCAAAAAAATAAAAAAGCAGGGGTTGCAATCCTACTCTTGGACAAAACAGGCTTTAAACCAACAAAATACAAAATTAACTTGGTATGGTGGTGCATGACTGTAATCCCAGATACCAGGGTGGCTGAGGCAGGAGAATCACTTCAAACTGGGAGGCAGAGGTTGCAGTGAGCAGAAACCGTGCAACTGCACTCCAGCCTGGGCAACAGACTAAGACTCTGTCTCAGAAAATAAAACAAAACAAAAAATAATACCATTAAAAAGTGGCCCAAGGACATGAAGAAACACTTTCAAAAGAGGACATGCATGTGGCCAACAAGCATATGAAATAAAACTCAAAGCCACTGATAATTGGAAAAGTGCAATTCAAACCACAATGAGATATCGCCTCACACCAGTCAGAATGGCTATTATTAAAAAGTAAAAAATAAAATAACAGATGCTGGTGACGTTATTGAGAAAAAAGAAACACTTATTCACTGTTGGTGGAAGTGTACATTAGTTCAACCATTGTGGGAAACAGTGTGCTCATTCCCCAGAGACCTAAAAACAGAACCACCATTCGATCCAGCAATCCCATTACTGGGTAGACAGCCAAAGGGATATAAACTGTTCTATCATAAAGACACATGTACGCATATGTTCACTGCAGCACTATTCACAATACCAAAGACATGGAATCAACCAAAAAGCCCATCAATGGTAGACTGGATAAAGAAAATGTAGTACATATATACCATGAAATAGCATACAGCCATAAAAACGAATAACATTATCTCTGTGGCCAGAACATGGATGGAGCTGGAGGTCATTATACTTAGCAAAGTAATGCAGGAACAGAAAACTAAATATTGCATGTTGTCACTTATAAGTGGGAGCTAAAAATGAGAAAAAAATCAACACACAGAGGAGAACAACAGACACTGGGGCCTACCGAAGAACAGAGGATGGAAGGAGAGAGAGGATCAGGAAAAATAGCTCATGAGTACCAGGTTTAATGCCTGGGTAACAAAATAATCTCTACAACAAACCCCCATAACACAAGTTCACCTGTATAACAAACCTGCACCACATGTATGCCTGAACTTAAAAGATACAAAAATAAGAAAAAAAAGATTTCAAAGCAAAACTTTGAGAAGAGACTAAAAGGTCACTATGTAATAATAAAGCAGTCAATTCATCAAGAGGATATTAACACTTTTAAATATATATGCACCCAACACTTGAGCACCCAGATATATAAAACAAAAGCTATTAGAGCTAAAAAGAGAGATAGGCCCTAATAAAATAATAGATGGAGACTTCAGCATCCCATATTCAGTATTGGACAGATCTGCCAAACAGAAACTCAACAACAACAACAACAAAAAAACAGATTTAATCAGCACTACAGACACATGGATCTAATAGATATTTACAGAACATTTCATCCAACGGCCACAGAATACACATTCTTTTCCTCAGCACATGGATCATTCTCAAGGACAAGACCATATGTTAGGTCTCAAAACATTAAAAAAAAACCTGAAATAATATCATGGATCTTGTCAGACCACAATGGCATAAAACTAGAAATTAATAACAAGAGGAATTTTGGAAACTATACAAATACATGAAAACTAAATAATCTGCTCCTGAATGAATAATGGGTCAATGAAGAAGCTAAGAAGGAAATTTGAAAATTTATTGAAACAAATGATAATGGAAACACAACATACCAAAACCGATGAGATACAGCAAAAGCAGTACTCAGAAAATAGCTATTAAGTGCCTACAACAAAACAGGTAAAAACTTCAAATAAACAATCTAATGATGCATCTTAAAGAGCTGCAAAGAAAGAGTAAATCAAACCAAAAATTAGAAGAAAAGAAATAATAAAGATCCCAATAGAAATAAACAAAATTGAAATGAAAAAACCCTACAGTCAGCAGCTCGGGTGGCGGGAGGAGTGGCAGCGGCCAGGCAGCCCAGTTTCGCGAAGGCTCTAGGCGCGCCGTGGCCCACAGGCACCTGACACGCGCCTTCCCCGCCGCCAGGATGCCCAAGAGGAAGGTCAGCTCCGCTGAAGGGGCCGCCAAGGAAGAGCCCAAGAGGAGATCAGCGCGGTTGTCAGCTGATAAATCTTCAGACAAAAAAGGGCAAACAAAAGGGAAAAGGGGAGCAAAGGGAAAACAGGCCAAAGTGGCTAACCAAGAAACTAAAGAAGATTTACCTGCAGAAAACGGGGAAACAAAAACTGAGGAGAGTCCAGCCTCTGATGAAGCAGGAGAGAAAGAAGCCAAGACGTATGTACCATGTCTTACCAGTGGTCCCTGTCTCCCTTCTTGTACAATCCTGAGGAATATTTTTATCAACTATTTTGTTAATGCAAGTCTTTTAGTAGCTGTAGAAACATTTTTTAAGAAGGAGAGAATACCACCTCATCCCATTTTTTTTAAGTGTAAATGCTTTTTTTTAAGAGGTGAAATCATTTGCTGGTTGTTTATTTTTTGGTACAACCAGAAAATAGCGTAGGATATTGAATTATGGGAGGCTTTGACTGTCTCGGGTGTCGGCTTAACATTCCATAGATGGGGGGTTAGTTTTTATGTCCTATAATACAAAGCACATTAAATGGCAATATGGAGTCAGTCCTGCATTTAATGTCTTGAACATTTTATTTTACTTCTATTCTCATGTTTTTTAGTAGGATTGTTTCCTAAAGAAAACCACTCCTTGTTCATGGCGCTCCCTGTCAGAATTGTGTGCACTCTGTAACATCTTTGGTTGTGGTAGTCCTGTTTTTCTAATAACTTTGTTGCTGTGCTGTGAAAGATTACAGATTTGAATATGTAGTGCACATGCTATTCAGTTGTGAACTGGTGGGCCATATGTAACAGCTGACCAACATGTGAAGATACTGGTATTTGATAGCCTCTTAAGGAAAATTTGCTTCCAAATTTTAAGCTGGAAAGTCACTGGAATAACTTTAAAAAAGAATTACAACACGTGGCTTTTTAGAATTTCGTTACATATATTAAGAATTGTGTACAGATTGAAATGTCTGTACTGATCCTCAACCAATAAAATCTCAATTATGAAAAAAAAAGAAAAAACCCTACAAAAGAGCAATAATGCAAAAGTTTCCTTTTTTAATAAGTTAACCAAAATTGACAAACCTTTAGCCAAACTAAGAAAAAAAGAGAGAAACCCAAATAAATAAAATCCGAAATGAAAAAGGATTTGGGAGGCTGAGGCAGGTGGACCACCTGAGGCCAGGACCTCAAGACCAACCTGGCCAACATGGCAAAACTCCATCTCTACTAAAAATACAAAAATTAACCAGGCGTGGTGGTAGGCACCTGTAATCCCATCTACTAGGGTGGCTGAGGCAAGAGAACTGCTTGAACCCTGGAGGTGGAGGTTCTAGTGAGTTGAGACTGTGCCACTGCACTCCAGCCTGGCGACAAAAGGAGACTCTGTCTCGAGGAAAAAAAAAAAAAGGAAAAGAAGAGAAAAAAAAGAAAGAAATGAAAAAGGAGACATTACAAAACTGATGCTGCAAAAATTCAAAGGATCATAACTGGCTCCTATGAGAAACTCCATGCCTATAAATTGGAAAATCTAGAAAAAAAATGGACTAATTCCTAGACACATACAACCTCCCAAGATTGAATCACGAATCCATAACCCGAACAGACCAATAACAAGCAACGAGATCAAAGCCATATTAAAAGTCTTCCAGTAAAGAACACCCAGAACTGATGGCTTCACTATTGAATTCTACCCAACATTTTAAAAAGGACTAATACCAATCCTACTCAAACTATTTTGAAAAATAGAGGAGGAGGGAATAGTTCCAAACTCATTCTATGAGGCCAGTATTACCCTGATACCAAAATCAGACAAAGACACATCAAAAAAAGAAAACTACAGGGCAAAACCGCTGATGAATATTGATGCAGAAATTCTCAACAGACTAGCAGCAATCAAATTCAACAATACATTAGAAAGAATCATCATCATGACCAAGTGAGATTTATCTCTGGGATGGAAGGATGGTTCAACATACGCAAATCAACTGATGTGATAAATCATATCAACGGAAAGAAGGTTACAAACCATATAATCATTTCAACTGATGCTGAAAAGCATGTAATAAAACTCAGTATGTCATCATGATACAAACCCTCAAAACACCGGGGAAAGAAGGAACATACTTCAATGTAATAAAAGCCATATACCACAGACCCACAGCTAGTATTGAAGTGGCCTCGTTGTCTGGGGTAACACCTGGAGTTCTTGGTCTCACAGACAAGGAAATCAAGGACATGGGCACAACAAAAGTGAGGTTTAGAGCAGAAAGTTAATAGAAGAAACAAAGAGAACAGCTTTCTACTACAGACAGGGGTCCCAGAAAAAACGTTTGCCATCCTGCAGTGAAATGCAGGGGGTTTTATGGATGAACTAGTGGGGAGGCAGCATCTGATCATCTACATAGGGTACAAACAACCGGTTAGGACCACGTGTACCATCTACATAGGGCGTGAATCTCTCCCAGGCCCCACCCTAATCTTTTATTATGCAGGCAAGTCCTCAGCTTGAGCTACTCCTTTTCTATCTGTGCAGCTGTTGGCATCCCCCTATGAAAGCTTCCAGCTTCCTATCTATCTATGATAGAAAATCAATGTACCAACATTTTATCTCCATGTACCATCTCAAACACAGGATTTAAATTTTCAAAAAAGATAAAATTCTCAAGAGTATTAAAGATCCAGAAATAAATTTAACAAAAACGTGCAAGGATTCTTTGCAGAAAACTGTAAAACTTTATTAAGAGAATGTTATCAGTCAAATTTCCAGATTAAGAATAACATTCTTGGTTTCAGTCTTCATTTGTCTTGGTGTAAACCTATGGTTGCGCATCACCTATAACATAAATATAAAACTAGGGCCCGTTACTCAGGAGATTTTTATTCATATGACACTAGAGGCATACAACTACCGTGTTGATGAACTAATATCATAACCCTGAGGGTGACCCTTTAGCTTACATCCAGTTAGCCTCTGAATAAACTCTGAAGGTAGACTTCCAGGCATATTAACAATATTTTTAATTCATGCCACTTTTTCTAGTAGAATAAAGAAACAAAGAGACTGTTCAACTTCAGAATGAATTCAATCAAGTGAATCTATTTGTATGTATAAGTGGAAAGCAAAAAACAAACAAACAAAAAAAAACGCATATACTTTCAATGAAAATTCAATGAAACAAAACCCCAAGGGAAAAGGTATTTTTAAAGTATCATTTAAATATTTTGATATAAAATAACACTTGAATACAGAATATGTTTAGAACTCCCTAAGTAAAGGAAATAGAAAAGTCAGTATTACATTTGTTTTGTGTCTCTTGTGAAAAAGTGTAAAAACGTTACTTTGGACTAGTGTAGCCATTATGCAATTGCTTTAAGTAGGGCGAACATTTGTCACTACTTTCACCGGAACTCCTGCCTCTTTACATGCCTAAAGGCAGTTCATTTCATACAGTAAACTGAATACCCACGCTAGCTGTAAGCCATTACCATCACAGTTAACATCACAAAATAAACTGATGCTTATTACAAACACGTTACATATTTGTTAAAAACAGGGCTCTATAAAAATATCTGAAACTTACTGGCTGTTGGTTAAATCACTTACATACAAAGGTGAGAACATGTTTTCAAATCTTTTTTTAAAAATGACACATAAAATCGTATATATTTATCATGCATAACATGATGCTTTAAAATATATATACACATTGTGAAATGGCTATATCAAGCTAATTAATATCTGCATTACTTCACATAGCTGTGAAGACACTCGATATCCTCTCTTAGCATGTTTCATATCTTTCATATCGTAATCCAATTAGCTTTGACCCAATTTTTCTCCATCTCTTGAAGTCCTGGCCTCAAGTGATCCTTCTGCCTCAGCCTTCAAAGTGCTGGAATTAAAAACATGAGCCAGCATACCTGACCCTCTCTCTCTGATAGTGTGTAAGGCAGCCATCTGGGATCTGAACTACCTTCAAAGAATCTTTAGACGTGAAGTAAGATATTAAAGTAGCACTAATTTTACCTCTGTGTCACAAAAATATAATATTGTGAAAACAGACACCCTATAGTTTGCATCTTAATTGAACAACATACCTGCTTCCAGCACTTTAGTGGGATCAAAAGTGGGCAGAGTCCCCTCCCTGACATCAGGACCATCTCCAGGCTCATCCTCTATCTTAAGCAGAGCCAATTCCTGTTGAAAAGCTTCCACGTCAGGCCCTTAAAAGATAAAAAGGTCATCAGTTTACAAATTAAAACATGAACTATGAACGAGGAAATGATAATGTTTATCCCCTCATCATTATGAAATAAAAACCTGTAGGTTAATCATTTAAGGAGTCTGTTGCCAGGAAAACAGGAAAGCAGTGATGTTCAAACATTGCCCTTTCCTTTCCCAAGGCTGGCCCTAGACAACTTGCCCCTTTTGTACTCATTTGTTCTTATTCTTATCACATTAAATCAGTGATTTGTTTGAGTCAGTCTGACTAGACTATGAGCTTTAGGCAAAAATTTGGCACTGACATCTCCAGCACTTAGTATATTACGCAGCATGAGAAAGCATTAATAAATCTGCGTTAAACAGTTTCTTAAAAAATACATGAGATGTCCGCAGATGGCAGACTAGGAAGCTGCAAGCTGCCATTCTTCCACAGAAACATAAAACAAAACAAAGCTAAACAAAAAACAGAATATGGCTGAACAAACCATACAGGAGCTCCGGAAAACACTCAAAGGTTTACAGCAACCATGCAAATACTCAATCAATAAAAAGCCTCTATCAAAATGGTAGGAAAGTTTTGTGACTTTTTATGTGTCCTTGTCCCACCCCTCCCCACAGCAGCAGCAGGAAATGTTTAGGATCCCTTCCTAATGTTTTCTGTCCTCCTGTTACTGGTATGTCATAAAATATAAGGCATAAATATACCTCCACCACCCATAAGCATTATTCTCCACTCTCCCTTCACCTTGAACAGCAGGTGTTCCTTCATTTTCAATCTCCCCACTAGGTGCAATACCCTGATTTTCAGTTGGTGCTTCCTCTTCTTGACGTTTTTCCTCAGTGGGCTGCTGGACCTAAGGGTGTAAGTGTGTGTGCGAATAAAAAGTCAATAACATAAATACACAAATGCATATGTGCATCGAATTATAAATCTAAAGGCATATATATATATATATATATATATAGAGAGAGAGAGAGAGAGAGAGAGAGAGGGAGAAAGAGAGAGAAATATCCCTATCCATACAGGTAACACCAGAATATAATATTCCTGAACCAAAGTTTCCTTCATGAGATGCCATTATCATTTTTTATCAGCATGGAACATCTGTATCAGTGCATGTACACTAGCTCAAAAATATTTTTAAAAATAAACTGTGTTAATAGAAAACATCAAATGTTAAAGGACTCACAATCACAGATTCAACCGGCTGGGAAGACTCTCGGTCATTTCCTCTTTCTGAGGATTGGGATCTTGTTCTTACATGCTCACTCATATTTCCCACTGAAAATAGAATATTGTTATTTGAAAAAAGTGTGTAGCTTAGCTATATATATGAATATTCCATGGCAAAATGGTGATTTGTACTTTTTAAATTTTGAAAATATTTTCAAAATAATTCACAGAGCAATGATAAGTACGCATGTTTTCCAATCAAACTACGGACAGATTTGTTTGTGTCATAGTCGAAGAGGCACAGAAATCACCTTAACGCCATAGCAAAACACAGAGGACTTAGATTCTGAGTTTTGGTTTCACAATGAGACTCTCCATCATGAAGACATTTAGGAAAAAACGGACAGAGAATTCAAACCGAAATGACTACTGCTTTCGTCCCACTTTGATTTACTAGGCGCATTTCCCCCTCTACATACCCCCTACCAAAATCAAGTTTTGTTGGAACGCACAGCCTCACCCATTCCTTCCCATGACGTCCACGGCGGAGGTGAGAAATCGTTAAACAGAGTGAATGTTATGCTCCTCAATGGACACCTCTGCCAGGCACTCTACAGACCTCAGGCCGCAGTCACCCGCCCACAGCGTTCCCAGTTCCCAGGCCCCTTACGGACCACGCCGTCCTTCCCTCATCCCTACCGAGGAGTCTGGAAACTGTCCTCTCTCCGATGGTTCCAGTTTTAGGGACTCAGATACCTCTAACAGCACCCCCAGCACTCGCCCCACCTTCACGTGATCCCTCCCCTCCACGGCCCACCTTCATCCCTTGTTCCAGCCCAGCCACTATGTCAAGACCCATAGCAGCATCGCGACTTGGGAGGAACCGGACGACGACCGCGAGGCCCCTTTCACTCAGAAGCCACAGACTGTGCCGCAGGACCTGTTCAAAGCCCGCTGGCTCCTCCTCACATTCACTCACAACTAAATTCCCAGGAAGACCGCTCTGAGGACCTACCTGCTGAGCCCCAGTCAGTGAGAAACAATCAAAATGGCGGAAAGAAAGAAAACACAGCGTCTCCTCGCAAAGCTCTGCGTGGACAGAAGGTAGGCAACAAGGCGCATGCGTAACAACAGTCATGCGTAGCAACAGAAATCCACAGCAACAGATCTGTGTAGCGTGTGCACTGAGTGAGGCATTCACTACGTGACTGAAGTTTTCCTGCCTCTGTGGAGAACCTAGACTACAAGCTCTCCTGACACCAAAATTGAACTTACAAAACATTTTTCTTTTTCCCCCTGCCCAACCTTTCTTTCACTTCCAATGGCTTTGGAGAATATGAGCCCCAGGTTACTCTAAGGGAAGAATGTGTTTCAGAAAAATTCACCATCATAGAAATAAATATTAAATATTTTAATACGTATTTTATATTTGCTATCATAAATCATTTTCTTGCCTCCTTCATGAGTCTGCTGTCATGTTTGCAATGAACTTACCCACTCCAATACGATAAGACATTCATAGCTTTTGGTTGCATTATTGTACATTCAAAATCATTGATCCATCTGAACAAAATTAATGTGATAGGGACTCAACATTTTTGTTGAATCCCTGTTTCACTCAGTGTTTTGAAATGGCTCTTTTATCGTCACCTACATCCCCACTCAATTTGGTGTGTAACTCTCTACTTTTAATTTTCTTCTATTGAGTTGTTTATAACTGCACCACTACTATATTTTTTAATTGCTGTAGCTTGATTATATTTGAAATGTCAAATAATGCTTGCCCTCCCTCATTCCTTTCTCTTTTTCTATCTATTCTGACACATTTGTCTTTCAGATGAACTTCAGAACCGTTTGATCAGGTGCTAAAATATTCCTGTTGAGATACTAGCTATTATTTTTAAATTACATCTTAGGGACAATAACTATCTTTCTATTTTAGAATCTCTCTATCCAAGAAAAAGCCACTACTCAATTCCTCAAGTCTTTTTATGTATCCCTCGCAATGATTGTTATTTACTTCATATTCGTTCTTCACATTCAAATTAAATTTATTCTTGGGCACTTTTATTGTTCCATTCCATTGCTGACAGGTGATTGCTTTCACCCCACTATGTTTTTCACAGAAGTCAAACAATCTCTGTTTGCAAACAATATGATTCTATACCTAGACAATCCTAGACTCTCTGCCCAAAAGCTCCTTGATCTAATAAACAACTTCAAGAAAGTTTCAGGATACAAAAGGAATGTACAAAACCCAGGAGTATTTCTATATACCAACAACCTTCTAAGCTCAAAGTCAATTCAGAAACACAATCCCATTCACAAATGCCACAAAAAGAATAAAATACCTACGAATACAGCTAGCTAGGGAGGAGAAAAATCTCTTCTATGAGAACTACAAAACACTACTCAAAGAAATCAGAGATGACACAAACAAATGGAAAAACATTCCATGCTCATGAACAGGAAAAACAATATTGTCAAAATGGCCAAACTGACCAAAGCAATTTATACACTCAATGATATTCCTACTAAACCACCAATGACATTTTTCACAGATTTAGAAAAGAAAAAAAAAAAAAAACTATTTTCAAATTTATATGGGATGGTTGGTGGGGATCTGGCAAGATGGCCAAATAGGAACAGCTGCGGTCTGCAGCTCCCAGCAAGACCAACACAGAAGGCGGGGGACTTCTGCATTTCCATCTGAGGTACTGAGTTCATCTCACTGAGACTGGTTAGGCAGTGGGTGCAGCCCCTGGAGGGCGAACAGAAGCAGGGTGGGGCATTGCTCCACCTGGGAAGTGCAAGGAGCGAGGGTTCTCCCTCTCCCAGCCAAGGGAAGCCATGAGGGACTGTGCTGTACTGCCCAGATACTATGCTTCTCCCATGGTTTTTGCAGTCCACGGACCAGGAGATTCCCTCACATGCTAACACCATCAGTGCCCTGGGTTTCAAACACGAAACTGAGCAGCTGTTTGGGCAGACACTGAGCTAGCTGCAGGAGTTTTATTTATTTATTTTATTTCATACCCCAGTGGCACCTGGAACCTCAGCGTGACAGAACCCTTCACTCCCCTGGAAAGGAGTCTGAAGCCAGGGAGCCAAGTAGTGTCACTCAGTGGGTCCCACTCCCATGGAGCCCAAGAAGCTATGAAACACTGGCTTGAATGTGTCACTGCCAGCACAGCAGTCTGAAGTCAACCTGGGACAATGGAGCTTGGTGGGGCAAGGGGCATCCACCATTACTGAGGCTTGAGTAGGCAATTTTCCCCTGACAGTGTTAAGGAAGCTGGGAAGTTCAGACTGGGTGTAACTCACTACAGGGCGGCAAAGTGGCTGTGGCCAGACTGCCTCTCTAGATTCTTCCTCACTGCGCAGGGAGGGCATCTGTGAAAGAAAGTTAACAGCCCCAGTCAGGGTCTTATAGATAAAACTCTCATCTCCCTGGGACAGAGCACCTCAGGGAAGGGGCAGCTGTGGGCACAGCTTCAGTGGACTTAAACGTTCTTGCCTGCCAGCTCTGAAGAGAGCAGTGCATACTGAAAAGGTTTTGCAGCACAGCGCTCGAGCTCTGCTAAGGGACAGACTGCCTCCTCAAGTGGATCCCTGAACCCCCTGCCTCCTGACTGGCAGAGACCTCCCAGCAGAGGTCGATTGACATCTCATACAGGAGAGTTCTGGCTGGCATCAGGCCGCTGCTCCTCTGAGACAAAGCTTCCAGAAGAAGGAGCAGGCAGCAATCTTTGCTGTTCTGCAGCCTCTACTGGTGATACCCAGGCAAATAGGGTCTTCAGCGGACCTCCAGAAAACTGCAGCAGATCTACAGAAGAGGGGCCTGACTGTTAGAAGAAAAGGTAGCAAAGAGAAAGCAATAACATCAACACCAACATAAAGGACCACTACACAAAAACCACATCCAAGGGGAGGGAGAGCATTAGGACAAATACGTAATGCATGTGGAGCTTAAAGCCGAGATGATGGGTTGATAGGTGCAGCAAACTACCATGGCATATGTATACCCATGTAACAAACCTGCATATTTTGCACATGTATGCCAGAACTTAAAGTACAATAAAAAAGAAAAACAAAAAAGAACAGTGCCCAGTATATCACATTACAAGAAATGTTAAGAGACATCTTTCTTATAGAAGGAAAATAAAAACAGGTAGAAATTTTGATCTAAACAAAGGAATTAAGAGCACCAAAAATGGTAATAATGTTAAGTATGTAAGATTATTTTCTTCTAATTAAGGGTTGTACTCACGTATGGATGTTTCTGCACTTGTTTTTTGTTTTTTTTTTTTCCCAAAGTGAAAGCAAGTTGATAAGTTGATTAACAAAGTAAAGGAATAAAAGAATGGCTACTCCATAGATAGCGCAGCCTCAAGGGGTGCTGTTGCCCACTTTTATGGTTATTTCTTGTTGATATGCTAAACAAGGGGTGGATTATTCATGCCCCCCCCTTTTTAGACCATATAGAGTAACTTCCTGACAGTGCCATGGCATTTGTAAACTATCATAGTGCCGATGGGAATGAAGCAGTGAGGATGACCAGAGGTCATTCTCATTGCCATTTTGGTATTGGTGGGTTTTGGCTCGCTCCTTAACTGCAACCTGTTTTATCAGCAAGGTCTTTATGACTTGTAGTTTGTGCTGACTTCCTATCTCTTCCTGTGACTTAGAATGCCTTAACTGTCTGGGAATGCAGCCTAGTAAGTTTAAGTCTCATTTCACCCAGCTCCTATTTAAAATGGAGTTGCTCTGGTTCACACACCACTGATGAAGATCCATCTTCTGTAACTTCCTCAGACTGAATAGGGCCTATGATATTCCTGCCTAACCATGAGGGTTTCTTGCATTCAAGGTAGAGAGGAGCTCAGTCAGAAAGCACCAGTATAGTAAGGTCCTCTCATAACTCTTGAGTTTCAACAAAAGGTGATATCTGGAAGATTAATAGGTGTTTAAGAAAACATTCAGTAAGCTTGTCCTATATTCCTACACAAAGAATATAACAGCAATATTTTCCACAAGAGTAAAGCAAAATAAGTACAGTTATTCCAAATAAACTAAATTAGAAGGCTTTTCATGAACTGGGCAACTGTTGGAACTAAGCTGGTGTGGGGTTGTTAGCTGATTACAATGTGTAATTAGAATACTGATCCAGTATTCTAATTACTGATTAGAATACTGATCCAGATTTTTATATTACCCATCCCTCTTGTTTCTGCTGAGCAACAGTCAGAGACCACTGGTTTGGTTCACAAGAATAAGCAGGGCTACCCTAAATTGCAGAAATAAACTTAAAAACAACTGATGAGACTAGAATCTAACAAGTATACCATAGCTTTTGAAACATAATATTTCCTCTCCAGTTTCCCATTTTTACTAAAGACAAATCATGGTAAGACAGATTTGCTTTATTATACTTGGCATGATTATTTGTATAAAGTGCAGCAAAAATAATTATTTTTCACTTAAGCTCTTTTTAAATTGGCATTGATGGAACTCTGTTCCATAGAAGGAATTTCAGATAAGACTTTTTTAAAGCCGAGCCCAACCATGGGTTTGTACCCTTAAATACCTATGAGTTGGGTAATTTTTTCCTCTCGAGGTCCCAAGATAACTTGGGGCTTCTGGACCTGTCAGAAAGTGACATTCTTTACTCACTACCGGTCAGAAACCCTGCACAGGGACTGTTGTAGGCAAGGTATGAGGCCAGTTCCCCACAGGGCTTTTATTGGCTCTATAAGTCAAGTTTAATTCCCTAAAGGAAAACACACCATTCTAGTCAAAACCTTGGTAAAATAATCAATTTCTCCAACTGTTTCCTGTTACAAAAGAAAACAGATTCTTACTGCACTTATGCAAATAACAATATTGCCATAAGTTAAGAACACTCACGACTAGTTTTCAAATTCTGGCAAAATCGGGCAGACAGAAACAAATATGCTACAAATTTTGTTCACAGGAGTATATTTTACTCAACTTCTAAAAGCCGTGAATAGCACAAAAGAAAAGTTTCCTTGACTCTGAAAAACAAAACAAAGGATCAGCAGCAT